GAGTCTATGTTTTTTTGCCCTCAGTATAACCATCATAGAAGCATGAACTTTTGGATCCGACAGAAATATTTTGCTCTTTGTCTTGTTTATGTTTTTAATTTTAAAAGAGGATTGAGGAATTGATGCTTTAAGCGACTCAATCAACGTCATCATATTTACATTGAAGACAAAAATTGGCGGGCACCAAGACATTTTTGATTTGTGTCTCCCATCTCTGGTTATGCGGGGTTTTGCGTTGTCATTGTTTTCGGCAGGAGCTGCCGAAATTTCGAAATTAATTAGGATCATCAGGATTATGACTCAATAATCGTTCTCTTAGGTCGGCAATATTTATGTTCACTGGTGACTGCACATTTCAAGACGTTGTCTTTTTCTTTCATTTTGATCGCAGTCTTTAGGTTGTTTGTTTGTTGTTGGTAATGGCGGGAATGAATTTGAAGTTAATGCAATAACTTCGGGTACGTCGTATTCCATATCAGGAAGAGTGTCAGGCATCTCCATTGCAAATTAATGCAAATCTGATGCCTGCAGACGGTTAAAAAATACAAAAATAATTTTTTTTAATTACAGCTTTAATCAGCACGTCTAATTTTTAGGGTAAAAAATCGTCAAAATGCCGATAAATCGGCAAAAATGGCAGCCCTGCTGGGGACATTTTCTCAGTAACTCATCTCTCAAAATGTCTCTCTCATTGCGCTCTCACATAATGAACTTTTGGATAAACGAACAGATTCCAGTAAAAACGTGAGTAAACTTGTAAACGAACACTCCTATTGATTTTTGTTTGACATTAAATTTGGCAAGCAGCTAATCTTGAAGGTCCCCCTTATAATTGAGCTATGTTTCAATGTGAGTGACATTAAGAATGAAGAAGAAGACCGCAGAATTTATGTTTTTTTTTTTCAAGAAGTTCAATTGCATAAAAACGTCGTAGATTGCAATATAACAGGATTACGAAAATCAGCTATAGAAAATGGATATGGTAGTTCAGGATCCCAAAAACATACCGTGTAAAATAATCCAGTTCAACAAATGAAATCATAGAATACAACCTAATGTTATTTTTTTAGTGGAATTGGCAGGAGCCGGGCAGCCGGAAAAATGTGTCAAGTGTGAAGCAGATCTCCAAAAGTGGTTGCGTTCCGAGGCGTACTATGATTTGATTGGCTTCATCAATGGAATAAGTACGGCCATCCAGGGAAAAAAAAATCTCAGATGATTTATACATTTCACCGCAAATGGAAAAGTTATTGGGGATATTTGAGAAACTTAACAGTATGGTTGATGAGACTCCACCTACTGATCAACCGCAACGTTTTGGAAATAAAGCTTTCCGCACATGGTCACGTAAAATGAATCATGTAAGCACCATGATATAGGTTTGCTTTCATCCAGAGTATTCTAAATTTTTTCGTAGGAAATATTTCTCATACTTCAAAGCTGTATACCGAGCGAAAAGTGCACTCTTGTAACAGAATTGGGGTTTTATCTTTCGGAATCGTTCGGAAATTCAGTCCGCATCGACTATGGCACAGGTCATGAACTCTCATTTATTTTCTTTATGTGTTCCTTGTTCAAAGGTGGTATATTAGAGGAAAAAGACAATGTTTCCTGTGCTCTGCGTCTATTCAACACGTATTTGATATTTGTGCGACGTCTTCAAAAAACCTATAGAATGGAGCCTGCTGGTAGTCAGGGTGTGTGGTCATTAGATGACTATCAATTTGTACCATTTATTTGGGGCAGTGCCCAACTTGCATGTAAGGCAATTGCGTTTATTTTGCTATACTATTTTTTTATTATTTGGTTATGTATTTGTAGGTAAGAGCCCAATAACCCCAGAAAAGTTTTTGGACGATGAAGTTATAAATGCAATGAAAAATGATTACATGTTCATTGCCTGCATAGATTTTATAAAACAGGTAAACAAGATATTATAATCACACAAGGGCCTAATAACTATGACATTGTATCATAACATTGACCGTTATTGTAACGCAGGTGAAAACGGGTCATTTCGCAGAACACTCATATCAGCTGTGGAGCATATCCGCAGTTCCTTCTTGGGCCAAAATAAACTCTGGACTTGTTAAAATGTATCAGAAAGAAGTGAGTATAAAACGAATAAATCGTAATATATGTCTCAATAGGCAATTTTCAACAACCTTATATATTATGCAAAAATATACTGCTACGAAAAAATTGTATATTGACATAAAGTTTAAAATAGGAACCGTATCTAGATCGGTCACATGGATAAGGTACCAACGAATTATAATATATATACATATAAATATATTTTCAGATTTTGTCGAAATTCCCTATAATGCAGCACGTTCTATTTGGAAACTTAATGACGTTTAACCCTGTCAAACCTGGAACTACAATATCAAGTGCACGATTGGGATTTATACAACCTGCACCCCCACCCAACAAGATGGTCGCAACGAATAGCCTTGTTTCAGAAAATGCAGTAGTCGAAGACAAAAAGGTTGAATGAATTTCATTACTATGTTATGTATAAAATTGGACAAGGCCCAAGTTAAAATTCTTCAACACAATGATTCGATGGTTACTTTAAAACTTGTAATACGAATTACAGATTTGAAAACTTTGGTACTAATATTAGCTGTATGTATTCACAATATCTTAATATATACATCAATACAATTTTATTTCTTATCCTTTTACGCTATTATATAACTAACAGGCATGTTGCAGAATCGAATCGGAATGGTTTGCATTCCGTAATTCAAAATCGTTTTTTTTTGTTTCACTTCTTCGGATTCTGTACGAATTGGTGAACTACGAAAATCTCATTATTCAGTGTGAATATTGCAATATTAGAGGAATGAAAGATCGAATGTATTATCAAATCTAAACAAACCGCATTATTAAAAAAACACTGTATAAATAGTATTTGTGCAAATATTCTGTTTAAGATATTTTTTGGGAAAAGAAAGCTTTTTTAATTTTTACGCAATGCAGGGAGTTTTTTCAGTAATTGAGGCGCAAAATAATGAAGTAATGAATTTTAGAGATGTTTCGGGCTCCTTACCCTACCCCAGTGCATTTTAATAACGAGTTAGTTTTAACTTATGTATAAATTCCTGTGCTTGCCCCTTAATAAATAAAACGTTAATTAACATTTCAAAACTCATTTACAAAATATCTCCTTTTTATCTTTGCTTCAACTTATCATTCGTAAGGCCAGAGTGTTTAGTTTTCACAAATGAATTATTTGAATTGGAATAAAAAGTTGGTTTCAAGAAAAAATGGTGCGGCAACATCAGCAATTAAAATTTGTTATTTTTAATAAACATATTAAAAAGGTAAATTTAATTATGTATTTATTATTAAAACATTTTTATCACTTGAAAGTGTTTTAAAGTTACAAATCCCTACGAAAATACAAAATCCAAAGTGTTTTCAAATTGAAAGAATGCTTTGTTTTCTGAAGAAGCTAAATAGGGAATTAAAATCTCTTTCTTTTGGAATTCGTTCCTGTGACATGCCTGGCAAATCTGTAAAAAACAGGAACCACTCGAAAGATGCTATTTTTATCTTTACAACGATATCAGAACTGCTTAAAACTATTTTTAAATCTCATACGAGGGAATATAGAAAGACTTGAAAGTCAAACTGTGCTAAAATGTTCATACCGCTCATTTACTCGGAGTGGCATATTTGAAAAAAAAAAAAAAAACGTTTTCATGTTGCAATTTCTGTGAAATTTACCTTATCTTTCTAAAAAAATTCATGTTGATATCTGTAAAACCCAAGGAGTTGCAGCTTTTTCTACTTGTATGCTGGCATAAATCTATAAAACAGGATGTTGAGATAATGAAGCACCATAATTCTGCCAACCATGTTTCATATTGCAAATCACCTATATAGTCCATGTAGTTATGTTGCTTTTATTGTGATAATCTCAGTCTTGAAATGGGGTTTTCTCGAAACCCTATATGACACTCTTTGAACAAATGAGCGATATGTGTATAAATAAGGATAAATGTTATCAAATATTCGGCTGATTTTAAACTCAAATTAAACAAGGCAACTCTTATCTATTTAATACTAATAATAATTCAAGGGATATTTCACTGTAAAATCTATATCTATAAAAGAGGAAAATGTATGTTTGTTTGTTTGTAATTTATGGACTCGAAAACCGCTGAACAGATTTTCTTGAAAATTTCCAAGTATACTACAACATCGCCTGAAAGTAACATGGGCTATACATTTCTTTGAAATTCAACTTGGATCTGGAGATATAGCATCAGAATCGGAGGTAATTATATTGAAATCGGTACAGATTTGGATATAGCTCCCATATATATTTTCAGCCGATTTCATGTATTTGATGCACCAAACACGATATGTATGTTCGATTCCAATGAAATTTGGAATATGTAATGGGATTTTGATCAGAAAATAAATTTGTCAAATTATATTGAAATCGGTTCAGATTTGGATATAGCTCTCATATATATTTTCGGACAATACGTATGTCCGAGTTCAATAAAATTCGGCATGAGTGCCTAAATTTGGTACACAAATAAATTTGCCAAATTATATTAAAATCGGTTCAGATTTGTATGTAACTCCCATATATATTTTCGGTCGATTTCACATATTTAATGCACCCAACTCGATATGTATGTCCAATTCCAAAGAAATTCAGAGAGACGAAATCTGGTGCCCAAAAAATGCCTACTTCTAAAGATGGAAGTTTCCTGCACGCTTGACATTTGCTATGAAATTAATAAATCCGAAGGATAAACCCTTCGTATATGCGGACAAAATTTGGCATGTTCCTGCTTTTCTCATGGTCAGCTGTTCCTGTCATGTTCACACGTTGGTAGACCGAGCTATTTGTTTATTTACGCATTAAAGTATTACAATACTTTTTTTTTGAATGCATACAAACTGAAAGGAGTTTCGAAGCGCATCGGGCTCAGCTTGTATTCCCATACTATTTAAAGGATTATTAAAAAACATTTTGAAAACATTATATGGAATATATTTAGAGATATTCAAGATAGTATTATATTTTAATTTTTCGAAAATACTGAAAAGGTTCACTTAAGGTTGTAAATAGCTTGGAAGCTTCATACGCATAAAGAGCCAAGTAGTAAAGAATGACACCAAGATAAATATGAATCCCATTGATGACAACAACAATCTATTTAGCTTTGTTTTTCCAAGGGCGTTGGAGCTCACATCCATAATTATAAATCCAATACCGCCAATTGTGAATAGAAAACTACTCGCTAATCCTTCCATAATATATTGACCATTTACACGATATGGCATAAAAGCCACGGGGCGCGAATGACCGTTTTCGTCAACTGTAGCACCAACGCTAGGCGGCTCCACAATAACATCATATATAATACCTAAAATAATATAAGTTATTTCCATGGTTTTCCTCATATCTCAATTATTTACCTCCGGTTACAAGAAAATATGAAACAAGTATCCAGCTAAAAATAAAAAAGGGTGATGGCTTTGGTAATTGGAATCTCAATTTTAAGTTTGGCGGAACGAGCAGATGGAAGGGCAATTCGTAGAATGACTGCAACATCACAAAATCCAAATGTTTATAATACGCTTTTAAGTTTAAAGTTATCCTCAAGTGACAAGTGTTCGTTCGTAAAATTTTATGAAATTGGCGAGTCTTACAATGTATATATGTGTATAATTTTGATTGTTGTTTTTTATTCTTTTTCACACAACTCTAAAATTCAGTTTTTTAAGGTTCAGAAACGCGTATATCCGCCCCACAACAGATACGTACGAGATAACAATAAGCGGCGTAAAAATTTCTTCTAATTTTCAAAATATTTTTAATAATTATTATAATAATATAATATTATTGAATATTCAATATTATTACTGCCGGTATATTATTATTGGCATTATATATTATCAACACTACGTCACTAAAAAGAATACAAGAATACGGAGCCATGAGGATATGAACGCAGTCTATGGTCAGGGATGTAGAGATCGGATAATCCATCTTTAATAGTTATGTTCCAGAACTTGAAAAATGGAGCAAGTTGAGTTTAGGGGCTATGCTCGGATCATTTTGAAATTTTTACCGCAGGTAGGTATTTGTAACCTGATTACGGCAATGTAATTTTTTTGTGGGGGAAATACCCGGTTATTCGACCCAAAAGTTCGAATATAACATCCGGTTTGTATCCGGTTCTACGTAACCGATATCAATAAAATGGGTATCATTTGAAAGCTTATGAAAATACCTATCCAACAAGTGGTCATATGACGGGGTTGCTGGAACCGGTTTCGGAGAAATTTAGGAAAATTTGCATTTTTGTATGAGTACTTTTTGAAAAACCTATAAAAACTCGAAAACGGACCCATTATAGGGTCTTAAAATCTATACACTATATTATAGCTAACACTATTGCCTTTCCAAAATGGTGTCATATGTGTTGATATCTTTTGTGGTTCCGTGGATATAAGAGATAGAATTCATTAAATTATATTTTTCTCCAGTCTAGATGCATTTGACTTTGACCTTTATAGCTTTTTTAAGCAACCGGCCTTCGGCCGGGGCGTAAGATTTTCTCCTCTGGGGTATGTCCAACACCGGCTACGCGATCCATAGTTTTTCTAAAAATTGTACATTTTGTAAGTAGCCGGCCTTCGGCCGGGGCTTAAGATTTTCTCCTCTAGGGTATGTCCAACACCGGCTACGCGATCCATAGTTTTTCTAAAAATTGTAATTTTTGTAAGTAGCCGGCCTTCGGCCGGGGCTTAAGATTTTCTCCTCTAGGGTATGTCCAACACCAGCTACGCGATCCATAGTTTTTCTAAAAATTGTAATTTTTGTAAGTAGCCGGCCTTCGGCCGGGGCTTAAGATTTTCTCCTCTGGGGTATGTCCAACACCGGCTACGCGATCAATAGTTTCCTAAAAACTGTAGTTTTCGAAAGTAGCCGGCCTTCGGCCGGGGCTTAAGATTTTCTCCTCTGGGGTATGTCCAACACCGGCTACGCGATCCATAGTTTTTCTAAAAATTGTAATTTTTGTAAGTAGCCGGCCTTCGGCCGGGGCTTAAGATTTTCTCCTCTGGGATATGTCCAACACCGACTACGCGATCCATAATATTCTAACAACACCAAATTAAAAACAAAGCAGATTAACAAGAACGTTAAACCCGACACAAAACTTGGGTTCACTCAAACTGCTTTCATAAGTAACGACTTTAAAAGTCAATATCTTCGGAACTACAAAAGATATCAACACATATGACACCATTTTGGAAAGGCAATAGTGTTAGCTATAATATTGTGTATAGATTTTAAGACCCTATAATGGGTCCATTTTCGAGTTTTTATGGGTTTTTATGGGTTTTTCAAAAATTACTCATACAAAAATGCACGTTTTCCTAAATTTCTCCGAAACAGGTTCCAATTACCCCGTCATATGACCACTTGTTGGATAGATATTTTCATAAGCTTTCAAATGATACCCGTATTATTGATATCGGTTACGTAGAACCGGATATAAACCGGATGTTGTATCCGAACTTTTGGGTCGAATAACCGGGTAACCGGGTATTTCCCCCACAAAAAAATTACATTGCCGTAATCAGGTTACAAATACCTACCTGCGGTAAAAATTTCAGGTCAATCCAAGCATAGCCCCTAAACTCAACTTATGCCTGAAAAATTATTACAAACAGTTTGTTGAAGTTTACAAAGGACCGTAGGGTGAACAACAAAAGAAATTTCTTTGCTTTCTTACGAAAAAGCCAGCCGAAAACATAATGGTGAGGATACATAAAACGTTTTTTTTTATTGGCTTAAGTCATCGGCCGGATTCTTCTAAAAAAGAAAACAAAGGAGCGCAGAACCGACATCGAAGCAACAGCCTGTTTTGTAAAAAAAGTTGCTTTCACTCGAATCGTTCTTGTTCAAACGTATTCGTTTTAATTTGTGTTTTTATAAATATTTTGGAAGCTCTCGTCCATTCTCGAAAAGCTTTACGCCAGGGCCTCATTAGCGATATCAGGGCCACCAAGGGTGGGATGAGGTTGACTTGAAAAGGAAGAAGCATTGTTTTGCGCATTCACTTTCCCATATACGCCACCCCTATATCACCACGCTGATTCTTTTTTAATAATTGCGTATTATTGCACTTATCTAAATTTCCCTTTTCTGTTGTATTTAGACCTTGGATTTTCACTAATTTTTTTATTTTTGTTTTCTAGTCGTATGTCTTTTTTAATGATGTTTTTTTTCTTTTTTGCGATATTGTTTGCATAGTAGATAATTTTTTTCTATTTTCGTTTTTTGAATTTTATTTTTTTTTAATTTTTTTGAATTTGAGACTATTTATATTTCAGTCTTTTACTTTTTTTAATTTTTTCAGTTAATTTGTTCTCATTTTGTAAAAAATGTCTTGAAGCGCTGTTTGTAGCTTTTAATTTAATTTAATAAATAAATAAAATCCGAGGCATAAAAAACAGGGGAGTACATTGATATGGACTGCAAAGATTTTATTATATATCCAAATATTTTTCTCATTTAATTTTGATATGCAGCGTAAGAATTGAATTGTATTTTTCAAAATTGTTTTTTTTTTTAATCAAACTTAGACTCGTCCGCATATAACTCAACTAAAGGCGTAATATGTACTACAATAGCTTTTGCTGCTTCAAATTCTAATTTATTGTGTATTTCTATAGACTCATTCATAGAAGCAACAACTTCATCATTAATATAGCTAATATGTCTTCAAATTTAAATTTTTTATATGAATAAGCAGATTTTCTTTTAGGGTTTGCAGCAACGCTCGTATGTGGTTGTACATGTATGAACCGAGCGTGTATATACCACACCTTGAGACTTGAGGCAACAAAATATTTTGAAAAATTATTGCGTGGCGTGATATACAACCAGTAGCAATTTCTATGAACTTTGAAAATACACTTGATGCTTTACGCAATTTTCTGTGGTAAGAAATGGCATCGCATATGCTCATAAATGTAGTTGCCCCAATTTCATTCACTTCTTTAAAAATCCGAACTACGATATTGTTCATAATATTCTAAAGATTTTGGCGTCGGTGTTTGTGCAACGCCGATCAGTAGGGGTGGATCCTTACTTAAAAGACGTTGTAAAAGAAATACATATGCTGTGGCTTTACCATTATTATGTATAATATTTACCTCATCGAACAACAATGTACAAATCGGGTATTTTTTTAAAATGTCTTTAAGAATATTTTTTGTTTGTATGTCGAAACCCATGTGACATTTAGGGAAAATGTTTTCTATAACATTTGATGGCGGTATCGACCATTTTTGTATGTTTCTTCGGTAGTAATAAAAATGAGAGTATCCTAACACCAGTGTAATTTGTTCCACGAGTAATTGTGGGGCCGCGGATGAACTAAAGCATACATTTTCATCATTCCCTGACATTAAAAATTCTCTATTGGAATCCTACAATAACTCATTTGAAGAAATTTAATTTTCAAATGAAGCTTCTAATTTATCATTTACAGATTCTATTGTTCGCATACTATGCAAAATTCGTGCAGCTTCTTCTTCATCTGCAATATTTCTGTTACTATTAACTTCTATTGGAGAATTTACAGCCAGTTCCACGATATCGAAATAACACGTTCGCACAACTTTTACACGACAATCAGCTGATTTCCGTTCCACTAAAATCCATCAGAACGAAAATTTGCACGAAAATCAAAGCGAACGAAAACGTAAGCGTTTCAGTGTAATTTTGCGTTCCACTATCTTTTTTCTTTCGTACGCATGCGAACACAAATGTCAAAATCAATCACTTGTGTGTTTGCTGTCGTATGATAACAATTAAGGAAAATTGTTTTAACATAAACATTGCTTGATTTAAAATGGAAACAAAAATGTAAGTAAAAATAATAAATGCAATTTAATATGTGAACAACAAATATATATTTTTTATTTTCTCAATTCCAGCACGAAAAAATCATCAACTACACAGCTGCGGTCACTAGTTGAGTATATGGAGGAGAATCTGAGTTCGCCAGAGGAGTGCCAATCTTTGGAAGCAGCAGAAGAAGTTTTAAATCTGGGCGGATTTGGGTAGTTCTGCAACCGGGCACCCACTTCTCTTCCATCATATCCAAAAGAGCCCGAAAAACTTCCTTCGACACACGAAAATTGGCCACAAACCTAGAAAAAATCATTTTTTATTATTTCGAAAATGTAAAAATACAATAATACTTACTGGTTGTTAGGTACTTCAAATAAATTCGAAGCATCTCTTAAATGCCTCCGTGGCACATTTTGAACCTCCTCCACATCATCCATAAAAAATAGGGCTACGGAAATATTCGTCCCAATTACGGTTTTCGTTTCTATAGTCGTCGTCGACTTTATGTGCAAGTCGCCCTCACCGTCGCTTCGATTCAAAAATGGTATTACGCTAAGGCATGGAAGCGACATCGACAGTTTAAAATAAAAGTTGGCAACAACTAAAAAAGGCGTTGGCAACAATCCCTTGTTATTGACAAAATAAGATAAAAATTTGTTTTTATTTTGAATTCTAATTTCGTCTCTTTCGGAAAAATAAAAAATATAGTGAAACAATGAATATTATAAATGCATTACATAGCTTAAGTTCAAGTGAGGATGAAGTGGAGAATGTATTAGTAGAGCAGCGGCGAGTGCTAAGCCAGCAAACAAATATGTTTGCATTGCCTGACTCTTGACTGTGTTGTTCCAAAAGTTTATACTGCTCTTTCAAGAATTCAATAGTTTCTTCTTTCCTTGATGATTTTTTATCATTGTTTTTTTTTTTTGGGCGATCGAGAATTTTGGATAGTAGTTACATCAGTCTCGTCATCAGCATTCTCCACTGGCTCATTTTCATGATCTATAACGTCTGTTACAATTATGTTTTCCGTATTTTTTACTCCAAATGCACGACCTGGTGCATTCAGTAACTTTTGAAACTGCATTACATTCGCGAAGGACTTCTCCCAAAGCGACAAAGTCATTTGCTTAAAATATCACCTCCAGTGCTGCTGGCTTCACCCTTATTGTGCACAATTGTTTTTTAGTTTTACATTTTTAATTTTTCCAAACCTAGACGAACTTTAGAAAACTAACTAATAAAAACATACAAAAATAATTTTAACTTTAATATACTTCTTGCCAGTCTCTAATCGGTGACCGTTTACATTTAATTTTGTAGCAATGGATTCCAATCTAATTTAAAACCCTTTGGCAAACATGGTTTTTTTTATTCAATTCGGAAACTAACATTTCAAATTGTTTTGCTGTTGTTATTTTCTTGGTCAAATATCAAATACAACAAGTAAAAAAGTAGTTAAGTTCGGCCTGGCCGAACTTTTAATACCCTCCACCATGAAAAATGTAAAATTAAAATGGAATAATTAGTTTCCTTTCGATTTCAAAAGTACTTAGCTCCATCGCCACGCCAAGGCTTATTCCTTGATGGAGTAGTTTATGATAATTAAGGTATAAGATTTTATCTAAAATAAAATTAGCCAATTAACATAAACCGAACATATATGCATTTCAATATAATTTATTATATCGAATATATACAATATAAAAATAAATCTAAACAATTCATAATTGCATTATATTATGAAGAAACATAAAAATGTATATGAAGTTAAAGATAAATAATTGAGGATAAATATTTGTTGTATGTGAATCGATAATGATTATAATATCAACGACATACGTATAAATTATCATCGCGTGATTATTATACCATCATGATGACTATGTATAGTGGAATAACTTTTACAGATAATCCCATGTGGCGCTATGTTAGTAAATGCCCAATCTATATGAGTTCCGTGCTTAGTTGTGCCAGAATTTCTATCCAAAAGTGGAAAAAATCCTTTGCTTACTAACAGAGTTTCCGTTAAATTCTGAGTACTCCGACGACAAATGTTGAAATCGCCAACTATAATAATTTTGTCGTTATTTTGTAGCAACAATTCTTCTATGGTTTCAGCAAGAATTTGACGAAAGGAACTCTCTGCAAAATTTGCATTTCTATACACTATCATTAGACATATACCTTTGTATTTCAAAACGATGTACTGCAAAGTCTTACATGCTTCGGAAAGATCCCTTTTCATAAGAACGCTGATATCATTTACAATATTAGATCGACTTAATGTTATGATACCTCTCTTATTTCTGGTTCTTTCTTGAGGGTCTTTTACGCAGTCAATTCTGGCAATTTCAGAAAATCCCATTAAGTTGCAGCTTTTGTTTGGGAAGGACCATGTTTCCACCAAAAAAATAAAATTAGAATTCGTAATTGTATAATCTGTACAAATATCTTCTTTATGAGCGTGAAAACTTTGAATGTTTTGGAAAAATATTTTGAAATCTTTCTCAACCAATTCGAGAAACTCAAAATGAAGATTTAATTGTTTGGTGTTCCTTAACTTATCTAGTTCTATTTTAACTGGGTCGGAATCCTGAAACGATTTCGGTGGAATAAACGGTCCTACTATGGCAACATAAAGGGCGGCTCTGGTCATCCTACTTTGTGTGTGCACAGCAACCTTTGCGTATGTGGCACCTTGACTCTTGTGAATAGTGATTCCTTCTGCTACAACCAAAGGAAATTGACATCGTTCAATACAGATTTTATCATTTCGTTTAAATTGAAATGATCTACTACACTTCTCAACTGGTGTCCAAAGTTGTTCGGAACGATGAGGCTTCCTTCGCCGTGTTTCTCTACCAACAGTTTCATCTGAAAACAACAACCAAAGAAGTTTTGGGTTGGATGATTCCCGTTCAAATTCTATCTCCATTAGAACTCCACTAGCTCCATTGACTAAGCCGTCCGATGTGTTAATGTTTATTGTCATCATATACTTTGCTGATTGTTTTAATGTCAGCTCCCGGCATAGTCCTTGAGTCTCTGAAGTTTTCAATTTTGTAACTTGGTTTAAGATGTTTACGGTTTGTGCAGGATTTAATGAATCACATTTAACAACGTCGCGCGCTCTTGATGCGAATGCTTCAGTAGGTATTTGGTGCAACTTCTGCGCATTGTAGTTATTTGCTTCTTCGTTTGATACAAACAAATGTATTGCATCCATTGGTATATCACTTGTGTCGCTTTTAATTCTGGATTTCATTATATCGACGTCTTCCTTTGTCATTATTCCATCAGACATTCTGCTTAGGGCTTGAGCGAACCTCAAATCTTCTCTTTGTCGCATTATTTCTGTCAGTTCATAGAAATGGAATAAATCCCATAATGTTGAACCTACTATAATTCCATACGGGTTTGCAGAATTGTCACTAAAAATCCACCTATCGCCAACTGGTGGAAGTTGTTTAAAATCACCAAATGCCAAAATAGAAATGCCACCAAACGCACTGGTTGTTTTAAAAATCTGCTTGAGACGAGCATCCAAATATCCCATCATTCTAGAACCAACCATTGAAATTTCATCGATAATTATAAGCTTTATATCGCTTAATTTTGTCAATATTGAATTGACGCTATCGCTGCTTAGAGGGCGCAGTTCGCCTGAGTACTGATTAACAGGCAGTGAAAACAATGCATGTAAAGTATATCCTCCAATGCCAAATGCCGCTTTTCCAGTTGGAGCTGTTAATAAGACCTTTGGTAAGTCGGGATTTACTCCAGGAATACTATTTATTCTGTGTGTAATTGATTGATAAATTGCTTTGATTAAACGACTTTTTCCAACACCAGCACCACCACCAATATACTCATAAAATATTTTATTTTCCACAACATTCTGCAGAATATGATGCAAATACTTTCGTTGCTTAGAATTTAGAGTCCTTATGTCATTCAGAAGATTGTTTTCACTTATTAAAGAGGGTAACTTTATAACTCTTACATCGTTTCTTGTGTCAGGATCATTATTTTCGAAACCAAATATATTTTCTTCGGGGTTTATTTCTGGTACAGCCAAAGCACGAAATTCTTCATCAAGCATTTGAGTTGCTGCATTGTTATCGTTTACGTTAAATGTGGCGTTGTGTTCATCTTGTATTTGTAATAAGATTTCGTCAAGTTCACCTTCCGTGTATAACTCAAATTGTTGCCTATTTAATTCTATAGTTTCCTTTAAAGCAAGACATGTACTTTCATTGTCGTTCTGTAACAAATCATCTGCTTCATTTCTCCAGGGCAAATACAGCATTACCAATGAACGAAAGTAATCTTCTCTGTTTGCATCGACATTGAACTTTGGAAAACTTACAATAGCCGCATTGTTTCTTTTATATACGTATCCCGAATTATTTTTTAGTCGAAGGGGAGCGCCAACTTGATCTAAATTTGTGTCATCGTTCTCAAAAAAATCATCTTCATCCTCTTCATTGGAACGAGATTTTCTCAATCTTCGTGAATATGTGTAATACGATGCAAAATAAGCCAAACATATATTTTCTAATATATCTGGACGTTGTATGTAATGATCCAGAATGTTCGCTTTGAAAATATCAGTTGATTCCCTTTCGAGGTTTTGCAGTTCTTGCCTTGATTTTAGCATCCGAACTCATTTTTCGGGTGGGAAAGTATTCACATAAACCTCTGTAGTACTACATTGCGACATACTCATACCCAGTATATTGTAAGATGCCTCTTGAGCGGACACTTCGGAGGCGTTAATAAATTTGTGTCCTATATGCTGAAGTCTCTCTTTGACAGAATAATTTCCCTCTCGTATTTCATGCATAGTTTCTTGCAGTAATCGGGAAACACCCCTATTGGACTTATTTATATAATTTACAATATAAGTGACACATGCATATGCATCTAGAACGAATTGTATGTCCATATTCGATTTTTGCATTGTTAGGATTCTTGGATTGAATGCATTGATGGATCTGTCTTTGAATGTTCTTTTCAGAAATATTTGAGGCTTTTTAATTGAAGATCTTAGTGCTAAAATGTATTCGTCCCTATTTAAATTAATTCTTCTGTCAGATAAGAAACTGTCAAATTGCTGAAGTTCATTAATATCTTCATCTGAAAGATTTGCGTTGAGCAATGTATGAATTTTGTCAAAATTATCTTTGTGTATCTTCAGTATGTCGAGATCTGTGTCTTCGGGCAGTGGAAACAGTAAGTCTGTGGCTGGCATTGGAGGGTGTGGAATGTGGAAACGACAAAACTTTTGACCCCTTATTTCTCGTTGACATGATCTTGTGTGATTGTGACGTTGGACGTTAATAATACCTTCGACATCTCTGATATTAGAATCTGTTGAAATGAATTTATCCACAAACTCTATAACGGGTGGGAAAGATGTAGTATCTGATATATTTAACTGAGGTGCATTGTTCAGCCAATATATGCCGTGCAAATGTGGAGATCCTCGCTGCTGAAACTCTATTCTCCAATAATATTTAATAACGTTATACTCATCGAATATACCACCATAAGATTTGAAATGTTTGAATAAGTGCCTAATTCGCTGATCAAAATATCGAGAGCATGTGATAGGGTCCTCCCGTATGAGATCATACTTTCTTTGTGTAGAATAGGAATTGGCTTCTTCCTCCGAAATCTCTGTACCTTCTAAAATTTTTACAAGAATTACAATTAATTCTGGCCATTGAGATTCCGCAGCAGACAATGTTATGAAAAACGTAGGTAATCCAAATTGCCTAATCATTGACAAAACTTTTTTCTTTTCACTTTCCCAGTGAGCTGGTGAAGACCGAATGCCCTTCAGGACGTGATACCCGTCATCATGTTGCACTAATCTAATAATCGTCTAATACATCTGCAGCTGTAAATTGTCTGGCTCCCATTTTTTTTCTCAAACACGTTGATATGCTATTCTTAATACGTGAAAATTCTAGTTTTTTATATGAATACAAAACTTTATCCACGCGTGCGCAACGCCTATCAAATCGTCGAACCTCAGACTTTATTACTTTCCCAACAGTGGCAGTGCAATTCCTTTTGATACCACAGTAAATGGTAGGGTAAGAAAGTTCTTCGGAATCCTCATCAAGCAGCATGTCTAAGGGTCTTTGTCCTTCACCAGGGGCTATTGAAATACGTTGTAAGGGTATATTTTCCGCAGCTTGATTATCTAATAATGTTTCTTGTGGATTTAGCTCTTGAACTTCATCCTCTAAAACATTATTATTTATCAACTGAGAAACCAAGTCCTGATCATTTACATTTGAAACAAAATGAATCTGCTCAGTTGAACTCATATTACTTAGCCATTCACTTGAAATTTGAATGTTATGTTTTCTATACAATTCCGTATTCACTAGGTATGAAGCTGCCTGAAAAATTTTCGCCGGGCGGATTGTTTCTGTCATAAAACTGTGTTCATAGGCAATTCTTCGCTTCAGATATACCTGAACCACTTCAGTCTGATCCGTTGATCGTGGAAGAACATTAACAGTTGTTGCCAAGTGAATAGGCACATTGACCACAGCACCTCTTACGGCACATTGGCGGTTGTACCCAAGAGAAACAATTCTCATAAATGGAATTCTTGGGGAAACAAATCTTTCTTCTAATGGGGTCAAACCACTTAAATCATGTGGGATGTCTGGAAAAGATAAGCCTTTTGAAAGACAAATGGTTGGAATTTTACCGCCACTAACAATCTTATGACAAGTACTACAGAATTTGTACTTATCATTAGCGGAGGGAAATTTATCAGAGAGATAAAATACTTCTCTTAGATTGGGAAATTTTCTTAAGAAGGCACTTTTTAGAATTAGTTTAATTTGGCTTGGAAACCAAAGTCCCCCACAACAAATGCAAACTTCCGTTGGACCATGTTTAATAACTTTAAAAAACTCACCGAATACTCTTGAGCGATGACGTGCGCGATCCATTTCCAAAACATTTATTCGTGATTCAGGGGAAAGTTGTTGTCTCACATTGGCGATCCTCTCTGCTTGCCGAGCATTTTCATTTTGGCGATTAACCGGATTCATTCGGTGAATAAGCACACGACAATTTCTAACATGTATTTGCTGACTTGATTGAATACGTGATGTACGTCTTTGGTGCGATCTTCGTATAGTATTCCTTTGTTGCTCTAAATACCTGTAGTTATCGTCCTGCCGGCGATGAGAATGTTCAAGCGTGTTGCGCTGTTGTTCTTGCATTCGGTAGTTTTCATTCTCTCGATGTTGTTGGTGACTTAACGCATCGCGCTGCCGTTCAATATACCGATAATTTTCATCCTGTCGCCGAATGGAGTGCTCTATTGCGTTTCGTTGTCGTTCTATCAATCGGTAAGATTCATCCTCTCTATGTTGTTGATGACGTATTGCATCGCGCTCCCGTTCCAAATGCCTGTAATTGTCATCTTGTCGCCGAATCGAGTGTTCCTGTGTATTCCTTTGTTGTTCCATCAATCGGTACGCTTCATCCTCTCTATGTTGTTGGTGACTAACTGCATCACGCTCTCGTTCCAAATGCCTGTAATTGTCATCTTGTCGCCGAATCGAGTGTTCCTGTGTATTCCTTTGTTGTTCCATCAATCGGTACGCTTCATCCTCTCTATGTTGTTGGTGACTAGCTGCATCACGCTCTCGTTCCAAATGTCGGTAATTTTCATCTTGTCGCCGAATCGAGTGTTCCTGTGTATTCCTTTGTTGTTCCATCAATCGGTACGCTTCATCCTCTCTATGTTGTTGGTGACTAAGTGCATCACGCTCTCGTTCCAAATGTCGGTAATTTTCATCCTGTCGCCGAATGGAGTGCTCAAGAGTGTTTCTTTCTTGTTCTACCATTCGGTAGGATTCATCCTCTCTATGTTGTTGATGACTTACTGCATCACGCTCTCGTTCCAAACTCCGGTAATTATCGTCCTGTCTGCGAATGGCGTGCTGAAGCGTGTTTCTTCCTTGTTCCATCAATCTATAGGCTTCGTCTTCTCTATGCTGTTGGTGACTTAAGGAATCCCTTTCTCTTTCGAATTGCCGGTAATTTTCATCCTGCCGACGAACTGCATGTTGGGAAGTGTTACGTAATTGTTCGACTCTTCTATTGAATGAAGACCTCCTCCTTTCTCGATGATACACTCTATCCCTCGAACGCTCTTCTTCCCGAAAGTCTACATTCTGTCTTCTTGTAGACAATGCACTTGCGTTTCTTAGCAGATCCATGGGATTTCGTTCACGATAGCTATTAACACGAGATGCAGTCAATCGTTGACGCTGCTGAGCAGATTGTTTGCGTAGTCTAGGCATATCACTGTTTCTTCGACTAAATTTATTTAAACACTGTTCACACACTATTCGCACTTCTTAAAATTAATAATAATAACTTTTAGTGCGCGATTATAGAACCGTTCTTTTCAAGTGACTGAGAAGTACTGATATTTAAGCGAACCATCCACATACCAATTACATATTTTGTCTACCTATGGAATACTATATTTAATATATTGCTACCTGTTTTTTCTATATTGATATTTAGAATAAACATCAAGGTGCAATATTCAGGTAGAATATACCTTTTAGGAAAACAATCATTATTATAAAATAGTGTAACAAGTTAAATATTTTCATATAATCAAACAGGTAATAAAAGCATATTTATTGGAACAAACAAGGTAATAAAAGTTTATTTATTGAAACAAACAAAGTAATAAAATGAGCCCTTTATGAAATAAATATTTGCAAATTTACATTGCAGAATATTTTAATCTCCCGTGCAATAATTGAAGTTACACTACCTGGGGTTATATGTACTTCTCTGCAAGGAATAGTAAACCAAGTAAACAATGTATAAACCATTTTAATTTATTTTCAAAATTTGGCAGAATATAATATCAAGAGGTAGGGCATTTTGATATTTATTTTTTAATATCCAGATAAATCAACACTTATAACATCAAACTGCAGAATATCAAACCGTTCTAAAAATTGTATATTCAAGCAAAATTCTGTCATAATTCTGGGTACTAATTACGAGCTTCAAGTACATCATTATGGTCAATTCTTAAAAAAAACCTAAACGAGAGCGATCTAAAGTCGGGAAGGGCCAACTATATGATTTCCTACACTACCAAGATATCCCACAGATGAAGATGATTCTTTTGAAAAATGTGGCTAAAATCATTCAAATACCGGAGATTAGGGAGTATCGCTTTATGAGCGGTATAATATGGATCAACTTTGTAATGCAACGAAAAATTGCAGACAATTCCGTTAATAATGTAGTTAAAATCATAAAAAATATGGAATATCTGGGGGGTATTGTTATATGGGCGCTATACGTGGACCTATTTAGACAATTATATTTTAGGGGTTAAAGTACTCAGAAGAAACACATTGTGTGCATTTTCCGACAATTCCATTGGATTCCACTTAGCTACAATATGTTGGTGACATACGATATCGTAGACTAATATACACAAAATTTTCCAGGGGTAAAGTACTCAAAAATAACTCCGGGAGGTACCGCTGTAGGAGGGATTACGATATCGTAGACCAATGTAGACAATTCTATTTCTAGGGGTAAAATACTCACAAAGAATACCTTGTGTAGAAATTTTGATAATTGCATTAATAAATGTGGCTAAAAACATCATATTATCGAATATCGGGGGGTACCGTTATATGGGGGATATACGATATTGTGGACCTATGTAGACAATTCTCTTCCAGGGTGTAAAGAACTCATTGTGTGGGTTCACATAATTCCATTGAAAATGTGGTTAAAATCATCAAAATAACGAATATCCGCGGGTACAGTTATCGGGCTGATTACGGTATCGTACACCTATATAGAAAAGTGCCTTCCAGGGGGTAAAAGACTTGTAAAGAACTCTTTGTGTAAAATAATAATTCCAATAATAAAAGTGGCTAAAATCAATCAAATACCGAATATATGAGGGTACCGATATATGGGGACTATACGATATCGTGGACCTATGTACATAATCCTCTTTCAGTGGGTAAAGTACTCACAAAGAATTCCTTGTGTAGAATTTCAGACAATTCCATTGAAAAATGTGGCTAAAATCATGAAAATAGCGAATATCGGGGGGTACCGTTATATGGGGGCTATACGATAACGTGGAACTTTATAGACAATTCTTTTCCAGGGGGTAATGTACTCACAATAAACTCCTTGTGAGAATTTTCACACAATTCCATTGAAAAATGTAAAAATCATGTAAAACCATCAAATACCGAATATCGGAAGGTGCCTTCTATGGGGTATATACGATATTGTCGACCTATGTAGATAATTCTCCTTTAGGGGGTAAAGTACTCACAAAAAACTCCTTGTGTAGAATTTCAAACGATTCCGTAAAAAATGTGGCTAAAATCATAAAAAACCGAATATCGGGGGTACCATGATCTGGGGGCTATTCGATATTGTGGACCTATATAGACAATTCTATTTCTGGGAGTGAAGTACTCACAAAGAATTCCTTGCGTAGAATTTCAGACAATTCCATTGAAAAATGTGGCTGAAATCATCAAAATACCGAATATCGGAGGGTAACGGTACCCTATATATATATATATATATATATTATTTTTTAGGGCGTTATGTACTCACAATGAAATCCTTGTGTGGATTTTCACAAAATTCCATTGAAAAGTGTGGGAAAAATCATCAAAATAACGAATATCGGAAGGTGCCGTTATATGGGGAATATACGATATTGTGAATAATTCTCTTTTAGGGGGTAAAGTACTCACAAAGAACTCCTTGTGTAGAATTTCAGATGATTCTATTGAAAAATGTGGCTAAATCATAAAAATACCGAATATCGGGGGGTACGTTATATGGGAGATATACGATATCGTGACCTATATAGACAACCCTCTTTCAGGGGGTAAAGTACTCACAATGAGCTCCTCGTGTAGAATTTCAGACAAATCCTTTTAAAAAATGTAGCTAAAATCATCAAAATACCGAATATCGAGCGGTATCGTTATATGGGGGATATACGATATCGTGGACCTATATAGACAACTCTCTTTCAGGGGGTAAAGTACTCACAAACAACTTCTTGTGTAGAATTTCAAACTATTCCATTAAAAATGTGGCTAAAATCATCAAAATACCGAATATCTGAGGATACCGTTATATGGGGGCTATACGATATCGTGGACCTATAAAGATAATTTTCTTTCAAGGAATAAAGTACACATAAGGAACTCCTTGTGTGAATTTTCAGACAATTCTATTGAAAAATGTGGCAAAAATCCTCAAAATACCGAATATTGGGGGGTACCGTTATATGGGGAATTTACGATATCGTGGACCTATATAGATAATTCTTTTTGAGGGGGTAATATGCCCACAAGGGACTCCTTTTGTGGAATTTCAGACAATTCCATTGAAAAATGTGGATAAAATCATCAAAAAACAAAATATCGGGGGTACCATTATATGGGGTCTATACGATATCGTGGATCTATGTACATAATTCTCTGCTAAAGTATAAAGTACCCATAAAGAACTCCTTGTGTGGATTTTCACACAATTCCGTTAAAAAATGTGGCTAAAATCATCAAAATGCCGAATGCCGGGGGGGGGGGGGGGGTACCGTTATATGGGGGCTATACGATATTGTGGACATATATAGATAATTCTCTGCCGAGGTATAAAGTACCCACAAGGAACTCCTTGTGTGGATTTTCAGACAATTCCGTTGAAAAATGTGTGTAAAATCAGCAAAATACCGAATATCGGGGGGTATCGTTATATGGGGGCTATATAGGACCTATATCGATAATTCTCTGCCAAGGTATAAAGTACCCACAAGGAACTCCTTGTGTGGATTTTCAGACAATTCCGTTCAAAAATGTGGGTAAAATCATCAAAATACCGAATATCGTGGGGTACCGTTACATGGGGGCTCTACGATATCGTGGACCTATATAGATAATTCTCTGCCGAGGTATAAAGTACCCACAAGGAACTCCTTGTGTGGATTTTCAGACAATTCCGTTGAAAAATGTGGGTAAAATCATCAAAATACCGAATATCGGGGGGTACCGTTACATGGGGGCTATACGATATCGTGGAGCTATATAGATAATTCTCTGCCGAGGTATAAAGTACCATCCAAGAACTCCTTGTGTGGATTTTCAGTCAATTCCGTTCAAAAATGTGGGTAAAAGCATCAAAATACCGAATGTCGTGGGGTACCGTTACATGGGGGCTATACGATATCGTGGACCTATTTAGATAATTCTCTGCCGAGGTATAAAGTACCCACAAGGAACTCCTTGTGTGGATTTTCAGACAATTCCGTTCAAAAATGTGGGTAAAATCATCAAAATACCGAATATCGGGGGGTACCGTTACATGGGGGCTATACGATATCGTGGACCTATATGGACAATTCTCTGCCGAGGTATAAAGTACCCACAAAGAACTCCTTGTGTGGATTTTCAGACAATTCCGTTGAAAAATGTGGGTAAAATCTTCAAAATACCGAATATCGGGGGTACCGTTACATGGGGGCTATACGATATCGTGGACCTATATAGATAATTCTCTGCCGAGGTATAAAGTACCCACAAGGAACTCCTTGTGTGGATTTTCAGACAATTCCGTTGAAAAATGTGGGTAAAATCATCAAAATACCGAATATCGGGGGGTACCGTTATATGGGGGCTATACGATATCGTGGACCGATATAGCCCATCTTCGAACTTGACCTGCCTGCAGACAAAAGAGAGATCTGTGCAAAATATTAGCTTCCTATCTTAATTCGTTTAGACTGTAGCGTGATTACAACAGACGGACAGACGGACAGACGGACGGACAGGGCTAAATCGTCTTAGAATTTTACGCTGATCAAGAATATATATACTTTGTTGGGTCTAAAATGATTATTTCGATGAGTTACAAACGGAATGACAAAGTTAATATACCCTCCATACCTTTTTTGGTGGAGGGTATAAAAAAGTTACAATATCAACGTCCACTAAAAAATACAATGTCGTCACAATTTTTTACGGCGACAGATTTTCTTAAAAATCGACTTCACGTCGACTGTTGTATCGACAGTTATAATAGCAATCATTTGTCGCTATCGACAAAAAACGACAACCCTAATATCATTATTGTCGCTTCGACTTCATTTTGCGACGCCGACGACAACCATAATAGGGCCGATTCATTTTTTTTATTTTTTAAGAACACAAATAGTTTGAACACAATCACTAGAAATTTTATTTTGTTTGTTTATTTACAATTTGTTTGTTTACAACTGAACTGTCAGTTGAGACAGAGCCACTGTTGCTTTTTTGCGTTTAAATTAGACATTTGGCGCTTTTTTTGCCTTATTTCGCGATTCATTTTTTCAAAAAATATTTAGCAACACTGAATCACGTAAGGCTATGCGAAAGAAAGAACGAAAGTTAGTGGAACGCATTCTTATACGAAAGTGAGTGAGTAGCCTCCGTTCGCACAAATTTTCT